TTTCTATTTCATCAAATAATACAAATTATCTATTGTTTTTGTGGTTTTGTGTGGATTCGTGGGGAGTAATCATGTTGTTTTCCGAATACTGATAGTAAATACTTGAGATCTACAAGTGTTTCCTATCAATCTACCTCTACATTTCTTAATATAAGTCAATCTAATACCTCTACTTTCCTAACCATGCCATCGAAAAGCCGTCGTTTTATATAACCAAACCATCTAAAAACGACTCTCTCTAATCTTTATCTTTCACAGGGAGCTACAATTTTCAGATCATATTCTTTAGATGAACTAAAGCTGCTTTTTCAAAAAACTGAAAAAGTATAGCGTGAGAGAAACTGAAACTCTACTATGATGAGCTCTAATCAATCACTATATCACTCAGTCAGACTATTGTTGAGTAGTTCATGGATATCAGACAAACCTCTTGAGATAGTTAGTTAATAACTGGTTTTTCCTCTTCGGAATCAATGTAGCTACAGTGCCTAACTCTCCCAACATTTAATGAAGAACCTGATGAAGTAGTATTGTTTCATGCAGAAAAAATTTTCAGAATTCACAAGTTACTAGTTATCAAGCCAACAGTTCACTCTCTTAATTGAAGCAGCAGTAGTAGTCTTTGATATCAAATTCAATAGCAGTTTATTGTAACTTCCTCAACCCTTTTGAAGAATTAACCAAAACCAAATCATGAAATAGACTCATCTAAATAGAGCTAATAAATGAATACACTTAAATAAATAGCTATTTTTAATCATATAATCTATATTAGTCATGAAAAATTCCATCAAAATCCTTATTTTATTTTTCACTGAAGGATGCAATGAGATGTTCTTACTAACTAAATAAAAAATCCTGTCATACGTACTCTAAATGCATCAAAAGAAATCTCAAATGCTTATTAAAATCAACTTATGATAGGTGCATTGATATGCATCTCATTTATTTCAAAAAAAAAAAATAGAACATGATCAACAAATTTAGTCTATTTAGATTTCCATTTTTAAGGGCACTTTTCAATTCTATTCTAAATTGTACTATGAACTTTGACTAGGGGTGTTAAAATTGGTTGATAGGCCAGATGCGGGACTAACCCGAAGTTCACCTGACCCAAATCTAATCAACTTGAACCTGAACATTTTAATAAATTAGTCAAAAATATCAATCTGAACCCGACCCGCTAGCAACCCGAACCCTACCTGTCAAACCATTTTGATTTTAAAAAAATTATAACTTAATAATCATAAAGTTTATGATATTTTATAAAAAAAATACGAAGATTACACCTATAAATAAAAAAATTATGAAAAAAATATTTAACAGATCATTTTCGGGTCAAAAGCCAGTTCGCTGGTAAACCCGAACCTGATTCGTTTATTAAACGTGTCAGAAAACTCAACCTGTATACTAATACGTTTTAGCCAATCTTTAATGTCTTGCATCTAAAATAGAATCAATTGAAAGTCATCCTCAAACTCATCCAAATGAGGAATAGGAAATTTGAATCTAATGGTAATTTTATTAATAACCCTACTTTTCACACACATCCTTAAAGTACCATCCTTCTTTGATATAAGTAAAGCGGGAACAGATAATGACTTGTTATTTCCCTAACAAATTTTTTTTCTCAAGTAACTTATCCACTCACCTTTTCAGTTTAAGCATGTTTAGATGACTTTATTCTATAATGCAGCAAATTATATAATGATGATCAAGGTCTACCTAAAACAATACAAGTAGTATCCATGGTTAAAATATCACATTAATGTTTCGTTTGGGACAATTTTTTTAATGCTTCTTAAAGCAGCATTTTAATACAAAAATTAAAACTTTTGTAAAAAAAAGCAGCTTTAAGAAGCAGTAAAAAAGTCGTCACAAACGAAGCCTAAATTCTATCACTATATGTAGCCAATTAAGTCCAATTAGACACATTTGGGACACAAATATAGTATTTATGTCTAAATTATCTTATAAGGTTATAGATGAGGTTCGAGATTCAAATTCATATAAGCTACAGTAAATTTCCACCTATGATGCACAGACACAGGCACGAACATGACGACACGACACGGACACGTTTTTTTTTTGAAAATATAGGACACGAGTACGGCACGAACACGGCATTATATTTTTTATATAGCGTATAGATATTAATATAACATCATATTAAAAATGACAAATAATAATAAATGAATGACATGATAATTAACTTGTCTAGCTTATAATATAAAATGTTTAGTAAAAAAATATCTAGTACAACCATAAAAATATAAGCAAATAACCACTTACTACAATATCAAGCATTCAATCTTCAAATACTACGATTAGCTTCAGAGGTTTGTTTTTGGCCTTTAATATCATCATCATTGAATATCATTGTTTTCAACTTTGGTTCATCAAGAAAAAGATTTGCTATAGTTCATTGGATATTTCTTCTTTGTATATATTTACTTCTCTAGTTCGCTAGTTCTCTTCCATAATATTTCTTTATCCTCTAATCTAAATCACAAAGAATGTATATATTTACTTCTATACTTCTATAGTTATCTCTCATAATAGTTCATTTGATATCATATATTTATAATTAAAATAATTCTATCCTTTAACAATTAGGACACGCGTGTCCCAACCGTGTCTGAAATGTGTCCCAGCCGTGTCGGGTTAAATTTAAACATTATTTTAATCGGACACGTGTCTGCCGTGTCTGACATGTGTCCCAGCCGTGTCGGGCATGTGTCCGTGTCCAACACATGTCTGACACTGCATTCTCTCTTCAAAAGGTGTTTCAGTGCATCATAAATTTCAACTTTAACCATTCTGTTTATGTCATCAGCTATGGTAGAGTTTTAATGCACGAATGTAATAGTCTTCAAACACAAATGATAATGAAATGATCTTAGCAATCCAAAACTTCTAGCAAGAATTTGGAAACAAATAAAATCCGTCAGCAAAATGAATTAATTATGACAAAATTATATTTTTGTATGATCAATTTTTTATCAAAATCAAGAAAACAAAACCCATCAATAATAACTTATCCTTCATTTCGGACGGCTTTCTTACTGCTTCTTAAAGCAGCTTTCTAGTTAAAAAACTCAATTTTTTCTATCAGAAAGTTGTTTTAAGAAACAGTAAGAAAGTAGTCACAAACAAAACCTTAGTAGAAGAAATAGACAATAAACGAAATTATAGAAGTAGAAGAAGAGAACTTTCCCTGAATCTACCAAATTGCACTTGTATCATGCTCAAAGAAACTACACAACTAATTTGTATCCACAAGATTGAAAGCTAAAACAAAATATATTGAAAACAAAAATTATAAATTGCATGCCTCAAGTCACTATTTAGTAGCATAAAGGTTTCATGTTGTTGTTGTTGTATATATAGCCTAAGTTAAGAAATAAGAACCTCAAGACGCACAAGTCACCCCTCCACCTCCATGACTTTACAAGTCATTTGACTCCCTGAATGCACGCCACTTCTTCTTTAAAAAAATTATTGCAACACCATCGCTCGATAGTAGTCTCGCATCAGCACCTTTGGACCGAAGTAGCACATCAAGCAAAAAGAAAACAGTTGTGTTGTTGGCACTTAACCAAAAAAATGAAGGAAACACTAAGGTGAAATAATGACTAAGCTTTCTCCTAATTCAGACTTAGGCTTCATTTGGGATGACTTTTTAATTGCTTTTTAAAACAGTTTTTTAGTACAAAAATTTTTAAGTTAAAAGATTTTGTACTAGAAAGCAGTAAGAAAACGATCCCAAACGAAGCCTTTATCACCACACGAGCTTCAGTGCAGTGCTAGGATAGCCAATGCTTAGAATTACTTTTTTTATTACTGCAAGTCTTATGCATGTTTGCCCTGCTGCTCAATGAAGAACCAACACAACCACATTCACTTCAGCCATGGAAATTTAGGCTGTTATTCAGAAGTAGAAAACCATGTCTCTAATGTCATAATTAATTATATTAGCTGTATCTACAACTGAACATATCTGAAATTTCAATGGAAGCACTCAACAATGGCATTTAGCACTCAAGCATTAAAAAGAAGACTTGAGAGTACAGCCAAATACTTCTTAGTGCAAAAAGACAACATCAACATATATTTTAAGTAGAAGATTCCATAGGCAACCAAAAGAAACTATTTAGGCATGTAATCAGATCAAGTGGAAAGAATCCAGAGTATAAATGTCAAAAAGTCCACAATATCTTGCACTTCAAGGGATGATCTGGTAAGATTGTTGGGATTTTTTTACAAGAAAATGGTATCGTGAGAAAATGAAAATCAAGAAAAGTTTTGGTCTTATATGAACTGGCAAAACAGACTAAAATATGGCAAAGAAAAATCAAATAATACAGAAAGAAAGCATAATGCACACTTATTTTAACGGGATATAAATTTCCAAAGACCCAAAACTTCTTACCATCAGTTTCTGCACAAAAGGAAACCTTAAAATGTTTCTGGCAAAAGACTCATTTGTTGTTTCATAACAGCTTTGATCATAGTTTCATGCAGTCATAAGGGTGTTCTAAATCGTGAGAGACCTTCAAGTTCGTGATTTTCATCAACTAAAATTTCAGGTACAGATGAACAAAGGCAAATGGCAATGGAAAAAAATGCAGTGCAAGCTAAGATTTCATTTGGGACCGCTTTTTTAATGCTTTTTAACCAATTTTTTTAGTACAAAAATTAAAATATTTGTACTAAAAAGCTATTTTAAGAAGCACGTAAAAAGCCGTCCCAAACGAAGCCTAAATTAACAAGCATCAAATTCCAACAAATTCCATGAACCCAAAACATCTAGCATTGATATATGCACAAAAAGAAACTACTGGGTAATCTATTCTGGCAAATAAAGCTGGTCAAACTCGCAGCCATGTCTCGCAATAACAATGGTGGTAGCAACCTTGGAAGCTATTATAAATCATAACAGATTGACTTGTGAATTTGGCCAGCTTCATCAGCCAAAAATACATTTCTCAATAATTATATACAAAAAGCTACAATTTTATACCTCTTCAGATCAACAATAGCTAATGTATGCCTCATCATTTTGATATTTGATGAGGATTAAGAAAAATAAATCAAATCTTACAACAAACTCTTAGTAATTCTTGAGAACACTCAGCATGGTTATGTTCAACACTGCACCTGCCAATCAAGCCCATCATCAAAATCCATACTGCTTGTACAATCCAACAATGCATTCTGCTGTTGCTCATACCGGCAGATATAATTTAAACCGACTAAAAGCTCACATATAGCAGCCTCTGTCTTTTCCCTATCAGCAAAATAAAGAGTCTGAAGAAGTAAAACACCCTTTCTTAGAACAATTTGCTGCTGCTCAAAATTGCGCTCGGCCTGCCAACGAATCATTTTATGAGCCATAGGAGACATCCAGCTCAATATCTTTTTAATTGATTCCTTCCAATCATGAGCAAGAGAAGCATCATATATTGCCAGATCCTTTACATAATACTTTAGGCTCTTCCTTAGAGCTGTCTTCAAGCTCGCAGGCAACATCTGGTAGAGATCATCCTTTGCTTCCTCTCCAATTAGATGGGGATAACTAAGAAGCTTTTCTATGATAATTATGATATTAGCATAATGAAGAGCAAGAGCTGAGCCACCAACGGTTGAAGAAGGTGCAAGCATTGTCAGTCTAACCTTGGGACCGAACCTCGGCCTCCCAATGCTTCCCCTTATGCAGCCTTGCTCCCCACTGAATGGAACAAGAGAACCAGTCCTACTCTGGCTAACACAGCTATGCTCCTCAAAGTGTTCATTTGAGTCTTTCCATGAAGCCGGACCACTCAAGCTGAGACATTCCATGAAGAGCTTTCCAGGATTAGCTCTGCAGTTGAACCTGAGACCATCACGATGGAGATTTACACCAGGCTCCACCATCTGACCAGATTTCTGAATCTTCCCTGACCTGTTATCTCCTGCATCTGACCTGAGAAGACCAGAATTCAATGGGAGATGTCGGAAGACAACAATTGAGCCAAAAAGCTGTTGGCTTTCATTGGCTGATATGTTCTCCAACTCCAAAATGGAGTCCCCGAACACCTGGCAGATCCGATAATGAATCGTGCAAACTGCGCGAGCAAGGAGGAGGACGACTTTGTCATAGCTTTGATTCCAAAGAGAGGAATCCCGAAGCTGCTTGACATCGTGCCTCTGCCACTGAATCCTTTGATCGAACACCTTGCGGGTATGTTCGTTAGCAGGCGTGGGAGGGAATTTCTTGGCGGAAAGCTCAAGCTCTGTAAGGGTTTCGAGCTCGGAGTAGAGAGCGGCAGTGGAGGAAGCGAACCGCTCCATCTTGCGAACGGTGCCATCCATGTCGCGGGAGAGAAAGCCGAGAGCGGAGGGGTCGATTCGGCCGGCGAGTAAGTCGGAGTACACATGTTCGAAGCCTTGGAGAGCGGGTAGAGAGCAGCGACGACCTAGGCGGGAAGTAACGGCGGCGACGCGGTTTAGTTCGTCGAGCTTCTCGGCGACGGCAAGGGCGAGGAGGTGGTTTTCGTGAGGGGAGATGAGAGAGCGAAGGGCAGGGGCGGAGAGGATCTGGTGATGGAGGTTGGAGATTTCGCCGTCGGAGAGAGAACGGTGGAGATGGACGGCACGTGACATCGCGTTGGCAACCTCGAAGGAGAGGATGCCAATGACCGAGGCAGAGGCTTCTCCGTGTTTCAGTGGATCCCGCCCCCCTTTCTTCTTCCGCATCTTCTGTATCCACGGCTCAACCACCATTGCTACGCTTCGATGGGATTTTCTCCGCTCGTCTGCAAGCAAAAATAGGATTTTTTTCTTCTAATTTAGCTTTAAAAAGAAGAATTTTAAACAGTCACAAGGCGAACGTGCAAAGGAAACCTCGTTCCTAACATTGAATCTCACATTCTTCTAAAAAAAACAAACGAAATTTTTTCCGCTTACCAGTTGGAAATGCGTTTAACAGAAGCAACAAGAATTCAAATCATAGAAGCTAAGGCTGACCTTAAGCAGTACAACGACCATTCAGGAGAGCTAAATCAACAGGTTGAACGCTTTGGAGCATGGAACATGGAAATCGAAAAAAGAACCCGCTTTTCCTCCTCCCTTGTTCTCCTCCTCTTGGCTTTGGCCTAAAACGCATCGTCTCAAATGGCCTCCACTCACTTCCTCCGCTTCTAAAACGAAAGAATTCGGAGAGAAGAGACAAGCAGAGGCGTGCCGATGCCTTATATCGATAATCATTTTTTGAATTCTCGTTCCTTTAAGAAAAAAATTCATATTTTTACTCATTTTTCTATGTGTTGCAGTTTTATAGATATCATCGTCATCAGGAATTTAAAAGAGCTCGTCTGTTATTGATTTGATTTATTAACAGAATCAAACTTTTATATTTTTATTCAGGTCTAATCTCTGGTTGTATAATTAGGACTTTAACTTCCATCATAAAAGTAAAAATTTGATCATACTAATTATTAAATTTTAATCTAATTACTTAGGATTAAATCTTTCAACGTGCGAAAAAAATTAGTTATTTATGCTATATATAGATTTTGTGATCTTGACTAATATAAAAACTCATTAAAATTTTATTTTGAATGATTTTCTTATTGCTTTAAGAAATCGTAAGAAAGTCGTCCCAAACAAAGCCTAAATCAATTAAATAACTCCTAGTATTAGTTATCTTTCAATGCTATACTTGAAGCATGATCTAGAACTCCACTTTAGGTTATACACAACTAATAACCTAAAAATCACAAAATAATAAAGGTGAATATTAAAGAAATAAATCCGTTAAGTAAAATATAAAGGGTAAGACATTGAACAAAAATATGACTAAAAAATTATAGAAGGAAAAAATGAATGTTAAGCTATATATGATTCTTAGGCTTCGTTTGGTATGACTTTTTTACTATTTTATGGAGCAATTTCTTAGTGCAAAATTTTCATATTAAAAAATTTTTGTAATAAGAAATTACTTTATAAAGCAGTATGAAGCCATTGAATTTGTTTCTTGCAAACTCATCACGATAATTTTGTGATTTTCATATTACTAACCATGCATCATCCAATAAAAGTTATAGACAAATGATTCAAGTGTATTATTATAAGGTAATTATTGTTAGTAGTTATTTAGTTTATCCAATGAGCTCTAGTAGTAGTTAAAGCTATTTTTTTTATATATATTTGGTAGATAATCTAGCAATATCATTAGATTTAGATGCTCTTATGATCTTATATGAGAATAAATAATATTGAAATCATATATTTTTATTTAATGATATTATTTCCTAATTTTTAACTCACGCTCTCCTACTAGAGTTTTATTTGTGACAATTTTTTTACTGTTTTCTAAAGCAACTTTTTAGAGGAAAAAAAAATTAAAAAGGTATTTTAGAAAGCAGTAAAAAAGTTATTATTGAGTTCAAATTAATTATTAAACCAAATATGAATAAATATTTTTTATTGTCCTAATCATCACCTAATCCACAAAATTAGGGAGATTAAAGCAAAAGTTAAATCGAGCTGATTTGAGGAAGTTGGCGATGAGTCGTTAAGGGCATTTTGACTCTTTGCCCTTTTTGTTGTAAGTTGTAACAACTACATTCTTTGCTTCCTTTGGTGATCCTTTTTTTTTTTAAGAGGGTATTATAAATGGGGTTGACAAAGTCAATTATGTGATGTCATAATTAGGATTATTATTATTTATTTAATTTTGCGTTTGGTTTGATGTTGACTTTGGATTATATATTTATAAGAATTTTTTATCATTTTAATCATTAATCACACTTAATTATACTGAGAATATTGAGTTAAAAAAATAGAGCCCTCTATTTATAGATTTTGATTAAAGCTTAAGTGTTATTGAATTAACTACATGCCATAGTTGTATATCTTAATTAGAATATTCGACTTGACGAAGTCGTACATCAAGCTTATAAGATGTCAATGACTTAATATGTATCGGTGGACCAACGATCAAATATCAGATCAATTGCTTTCGGTTTGAATGAAGTCAACCATTGGAAGTACTCGCTAGGACCGACTTCACATACCGTGCTAAGACTTCGTTTGTGACAGCTTAAGCCTTCGTTTGGTGAGTTCTTTTTAAGTCGAAACAGGGTAGATCGAATTGTGTTAACTTAAATTGGGTCAACTCAACTTGAATCTTAAGACTTCGTTTGTGACAGCTTTGTTAATGCTTTCTAAAACGGTATTTTAGCTAAAAAAATTTCTTGAATTAGAATTTTTTGTTGCTAAAAAAATGTTTTAGAAAACAATGAAAAAGCTGTCCCAAATAAAACCTATTTTTTCAAATATTTAGTATTTTTTAAATATTAAGACCAATAAATAGTTAATTTTATGCCCTTTACAAATGTTCAAATAAGGATAATGTTTAAAATAAAATAATTTAAATTTTGAGAGAAGAATGACATCCACTATGAATCCAAATGATTTTGTCTGCTTAGTAATGAATCATAAAGTTATGCAACATTATAAATGCAAATGATTTTGACTGCTTTAATAATAATTCATATAAAGTCTTGCGACATATATTAGTGGAGAGGTTACTAATTGTTCAACAATATTAAATGCCCCTTTCTAAAAAAATTGTAGAAAATCAAACTTTTATGGAAAAAATTAATTCAAAATATTAAGTAAAAAAGATTTAATTCAAAATTTAAAAAAAAAAATTCCAAAAAATTTTGGCACTAAACACTATTTTTATAAAGAAGTACTAAAGTTATCCCAAATGAAACTTTAATCATATTACTCTATCCCAAATTATCTTTTATAATATATTTAATTGTTGATAGAAATTGTACTAATCAATAAAAAAAGAAAAATATTGCTAAAAAATAAATATAAATATAGAAAGTGTGGATTTATGATTTAAAATTCAGATAAATAGAAAAAATGCTAATAACAATTGATTTTTTTTTTTTGGGAAAATAAAATTTTTTTGGGGAAACTCACAACAATTGAAATTTAAATAAATAGAAAAAATATATGATTTATATATCATATAGTATTGGAGGATTATAAACTTAAAGAATAATAAAAAAATATTTTAGCAAAGTGGGAGCTAAATTATTTTCAAATAAAAAATTTTGTACTGCAATATATCATTAATTAATATCAGAAGATTTATAATTGTTGACCAGATCATGTGAACTATATTATTATTATTTTTTATATTTACATTAGGTGAGGGCAACTATTTGATAAAATTCATGTATGTCAGTTTCTTATTCAATATTTGATCTCATTAATTTAATTATTTATTTGTAAAAATTATATATTTTCTAATGATTTTTTAAGTAGTTAATTATTTTAATTCTATTTTTATAGATATTTGATAATAAAAAATAAACAAATTCAAGATAATGATGAAAAAAATTAAAATTTTAATATATTGAATAACAAAATATTAAAAAAATAGCTTCATACATTAATAATATAATTTAATAATTCTTAAATCATTAGTAATATTTGTTTACTAAATCATCATCAATTTTGTTCCTAACAAATATGAATATATGTATTTTTTAATTATTAATATAATAAATACAATTTGATTATATTAAATTAATAAATTAATTAAATGACTATCTTATTTATCTTTAATTATTAAAATAAATAAATAAATTTGAATAAAAAAGCACTCCTGCAGCTGCATCTATAACCTAAATCTTGTACTGCTCAATCATTAAATTAATAATAATTATCCTACTTCCATGATCCTTGGTCCTTACGGTGCATCTAGCTGTTCAACATAGCTAATTAAATAAATATAAATTGACTGCAATTTTCAATTGCAAAACAGGCTATTTTAGCTGAAGACCAGGGTTCTATTTGTAAAATTATTTAAAGTGTCTAGAACTGGATGTAATTTTCAAATACATGTGTAAAACAAGACAATTTTTTGAAAGAAAAGGTAAAAAAAAAAAGATGAGGAGTTGGGAGGAGTAAATGAAGGTGGTCCAATTCGTGGTCACTAGTCACAGTGCAGGTGGTGGGAGTTGGCCCTTCCAATCTTTCAAAATTTTAGTTGAAGGACAAAAATAAATATTTTTACAGGCTTCATCATATACAGAGGTAACAGTAAACAGTCAAAGATATTAGGAAGTGAGGGTCTCTTTGAAGGCTTTGTTACTGTTTTGATTTTTAGAGCTTAATTATAATTTTTATTCGATTATTATTTTTTCAATGTTTTCACACATATTTTGGGCTATAAAATAACTTTTTGCAAACAAATTTTTTTAAAATTATTTTATATTAACAGCTTTATAAAAAATTGCAGTCATTTCAAACAAATCCTGAAATAGCCAGGACATCACAAGTCATAGCATGAGTCACCAATTATCAACATATGAAAGCAAATCCCTATATAGAGTCATGTTTGGGTACCTAATGGGTGCCCACGCTCTGCCCGGGCGGGCTTCGCCCACTCATTATGACTTTCGGGATGTCGTACCCACCCAATTTCCAAACTTTTTGAATGCAGTCAGTCACGAACTGATGGCCTTCAGGCTTATTGTCCTTCTCTATGGCTGCAAACTTTCAAGCCCGCATATCAAAATGTATTGTGGTCATAGCGCGATTTAGTGTTGTGCACTGCGTGGTGAAGATTACGGCAATATATTGCATGCTGTAATTAGCAATATAAATCGTTTTATCCTCCGATGTTGAGGATCCACCCATACCAATCCATGAGGTCATGGGCATACCCAGGGAATCCAATACATGGCTCTCTATGAAAGTGGATCCACTCATACCAATCCACGAGGTCATGGGCATACCCAGGGAATCCAATACAGGGCTCTCTATGTTGAGGATCCACCCATACCAATCCACGAGGTCATGGGCATACCCAGGAAATCAATACAGGGCTCTCTATGAAAGTGGAAGCAACAAAAGGTGATCGACTAAAGTAAGATAATGTTAATATGGAAAGCTATATCTAAATTTTCATTTCTTATGTTATGCGAATTTAATTTGCATGGATGATAAGATGGCTAAGATATTATTTCCTCTTAAAAAAATATCATCAACATAGAAATGTATAGGCAGCGAGCCAATTTTGGTCATTCATGCTTATGCGATGCAGTTCATACACAAATAATTTGTGGATTATAAGTGTTTCACAGTGATTTTCCAAATTTCAATGTAAGTTCCAAGATTTGAGTACATTGGGATGAATGGAGGGGGATATGACCAAGTAGAGAGCACAAGAGAAA